TTCCCATCACATCCCTTTGCCGATCATTGCCATACCGCTGCTCATCATAGATCCGCCCAGGTTCAAACAGCATGGACATACTGCTGGCCCGTCATTTTTGGGGCTTCACGGCGGTAAATGCGGAGATGCATCTTCATCACGGCGGCAAGGCAGGCCATCTTGGTTTCCATACCATCGTCAACCATTGTCATTATCATGATCATCAGATCATCAAGCTTATACCAACAGGACAAAAGACGCCCAACGCCTCGCAGGTCTAGAAGATGCTCGCATCGCATATGCAAAATCCAAGCGCCCCAGACAGAAAAACCCAAATCCGAGCACACTCATTTTGAAACACACAGCTTCCCCCACCACCTCCCGCTAAAAGTGAGCCCGCGTCGAGTGCTTGCACTCAACCAAGAACGAGGTAGTAATCTTTCACCGATCGCCCCTGGTTCCGTATCCCTCTTCTTCCTCGCAGATCAGCGGCATTCGCTCCATGTCAGCCTCAGCTTTTTCCCTTTCGTTGTGTAACCCGACCTGGATGGCAACAAAAAGAACGAGAGCGATGCCAAGAACAGTCCCGGTCGCGCCCATCATTATGTTCACAGGCACGGGGTTACCATGCAGCGGACCATGGGTCCATGCATCGAGACCCGACTGCGCAAAGCTGATGATACCGGAGATGCACACCAACGCGCCATAAATGCGCCCAAACGTGGCGAAGCCGAAGACTTTCGTAGCGTAATCGCTGGCAGTCGTTAGCCTAGGAAGTCATAGAGAAAAGCTTTCCAAACTTACGAAATGGCAGAGTAGTACAGCGGCCTGAAGATCACAAAGGCCACAATCATCGCGTACCCTGCCCACAGCTGGGGAATGCAGTTGAGCACGGCAACGACGATGATCAGGACGGTTAAGATGCCGAATGTGACCGGCACGCTTGCGTTGTTGAGCAAGACGGCAATGAAGGGTGTCGCAGCGACACCGCCAATGGGCAGAGCAGCATCGAAAAAGTGGTTGATCGACTCAGCCAGCACATCAGACCCGAGCATGAAGCGATACTGGGCACGGATGGTGGCGATGAGGTAGTTCATTCTCAGCATTTGGTGCACCGTGAGCAAGAGGATCAAGATGAACCACGGCGTAAGCATCTGCTGATGGGCAGGCAGACCGTGCAGGACACCCCAGACACCACTGGCCTCGAGACGCTCTTCCTTGATCTTCACGCGCTCCTCCCTCACCTCGGCATCACCAGTGAGATCGACAATCGCGTCAAGCTTGGCCCGACGGCGCTCCGCCCGGATGCTGCGAACGTGGTATCGCTCGCCATCGCTCGTAAGGTCGTCATCGGAGGTGTGAACGTCTCGAGTGTTGTCTTCAGCACGCTCAATCTTCTCCTCGAGCTCAGGCACCGAGTGGTAAGCATGCTCGGGCATGTATGTGTACTCGGCGACAAGGATCAAGACCGGGACAATGAGGTAACCAAAGAGACTTCTCCAGTGAGAGTTACCACCGTGCGTCGTACGCATGCGTTAGAGAGGAGACTGCCGCGAGCATCGAGGCACCAGTGACCAGCG